AAGAAGCCAGTGCATTGAAGCGGAAAGGTATCGCGGATCGGTATCGCGGTACGCGGATTTTAGAGTAGAGTCACCGTCAGTCCGTGGGTCTCCACATGCAGCAACTTCCACGTAGTGAGACCTGGGTCGTTAATACTTGCAATGTTTAATTGTAAATTTTTAAATGCAAGTATTAACGAGCGAATGGCTGCATATTGTATTACTTTTCCTATATCTTTTTAATTTAATTCCAACTAAACATTAATATATTTCCATCTGACATAGCTAATAATTCTTCGAAAAACGAAATATAACAGAATTTATTGTACAATAATTTCTTACAGAAGGACAAGGAAATTTATCTATTTCTCTTTTATGTCCGCTGTCATTTCTATTTATTCTTAATTACTCTCATTAATTATCCTTCATATATCTCGGGTGGGACCCACGGGTGGGGCCTGTGGGCGAGGGCTTCTGTGCGGGTTGCTGTTTCAGCATCATATAGTGCTGCATCTCTTTCCTTCTCTTTCTGTGGCTCTCTTTTCTATTTCATATTTTTCATACTGATTTACTCTTATTAATTATGATTTATAAGTCTTGGGTGGGACCCATGGGATGGGGACATGGGTGTGGGCCTCTGTGCGGGTTGCTGTCTTAGCGTCGTGTAGAACTGCTTCTATTTTCTTATCTTTCTGCAGCTTTCTTTTCTATCTAATATTTTCCTTATTTAATTATGTTTTTAATTATGTTATTAACATGTTATTTCTTTTCATTATGTCTTTTCAGGTTTTTATTATGTTATTTCTTTTTAATTATGTCTTTTCAGAATATAATTATGTTATTTCTTCTCATTATGTCTTTTCAGATTTTTATTATGTTATTTCTTTTTAATTATGTTTTTAATTATGTTATTAATATATACTTATTAATTATGTTTTATGAGTTTTAGCTAGGACCCATGAGATGGTGCGAGCAGCTGTTTCAGAATCGTGCAGAGCTCTCATTCTCCAGCCCTCTTATTTATTTATACGTATTTATTTTCTGTTTTATGAATTTTTTTGTGTTTCTCTTATTCATCTTCTTTTTTTCTTTTTCAGGGATGATCAAGTAATCATGCAGCGATATTCAATATGTCTTTTCTTTTCTTCTTCTAATGTTTCCTTAGTTTCTTTTTTTTCAGGATAGATCATCAAGGCATAGGTTCACGTCTGGTCGAATTCGTCATCGCCTGGCTAGACCCATCATCGATTTTTATGTGCGGTTCCGGGCAGGATAGGAAGAACACTCGCGCGAGTGTCGGCGTGCACAAGCGTGGGTGTTCTCGGGCGCGATTAAACTTCGTTTGATTGTTCGTATCGAAAACGCGAATTTAGAGTAGAGTCACCGTTTTTCTAACACTCATGTGAATGAACGCGGACGCGATTTAAAAGTCCTACCGGGGACTTCGTTTATATTTGCTCGAATATTCGATTAGATTACCTCGCGAACGCGTTTTTTTAGAGTAGAGTCACCGTTTTCCGAACACTTGCGTGGGTGTCCGGGCGCGATTAAAAGTCCTACCATGGACTTCGTTTAGTGTTGAAATTCGGGGTGCGCGAACGGTTTACCTTGTAGTGCTGTACATAGCTGGCTGATGTTATGACAATCCTAATGTTTGGTAGCGGGGCGGAAATCCCGACAAATATCATGGAAAGTCTAAATACCGGTTAGCATATGTCACTTTGGATTTCAACTTAGAGTCATCGTTATTCTAACACCCGCGTGGGTGTTCGCGTGCGCGATTAAAAGTCCTACCGGGGACTTCGTTTTGTTTGCTCGAATATTCGATTAGTTTATTTAGAGTAAAATCACCGTTTTCGAACACTTGCGTGGGTGTCCGGGCGCGATTAAAAGTCCTATCATGGACTACGTTTTAGTGTTGAAATTCGGGGTGCGCTTCGGATTTCAACTTAGAGTCACCGTTATTTTAACACTCGCGTAAGTGTTCGCGTGCGCGATTGAAAGTCCTACCGGGGACTTCGTTTTATTTCTTCGACATATCGATTAGATTACTTCGCGAATTTGTATAGAACAGTAGAAGCTACGTAATAATAAAACACGTGAGTGTCGCGAACGCGATTAATGCGCTTTGATTGTTCGAAATTCGGATGCACGAATTCAGATGTGCTTAATAATCCGTTATGCCTGAGGCGGAGGGTGTCGAACGGTTAAGCTTTCTGTAAGTGGAGTCCCTGTAGCTAAGGCTAGATACTTCCTGTTAGCTTTGTCCCATGCCCAAGACATTCGAAGCGGAAGGCATGAGGGATCGGTATCGCGGTACGCGGATTTTAGAGTAAAGTAGAGTCACCGTTAGCTCGTGGGTCTCCACATGCAGCAACCTCCACGTGGTGAGACCTGGATCGTTAATACTTGCAAAGTTTAATTGTAAATTTTTAAATGCAAGTATTAACGAGCGAATGGCTGCATATTGTATTATTTTTCCAATATCTTTTCAAACTAATTCCAACTAAACAATAATATATTTCCATCTTATATAGCTAATAATTCTTCGAAAGAAGAAATATAACAGAATTTATTGTACAATAATTTCTTACAGGAGGACAAGGAAATTTATCTATCTCTCTTTTATGTCCGCTGTCATTTCTATTTATTCTTAATTACTCTCATTAATTATCCTTTGTGTATTTCGGGTGGGACCCACGGGTGGGGCCTGTGGGTGAGGGCTTCTGTGCGGGTTGCTGTCTCAGCATCGTGTAGAGCTGCTTCTATTTTCTTATCTTTCTGGGCCTCCCTTTTCTTTCTCCGGCTCTCTTTTCTTTTTCATATTTTTCATTCTTATTTGCTCTTATTACGTTTGATTTATTGCATCGTGTGGGACTCATGGGAGGTGTACATGGGTGTGGACTTCTATGCGGGTTGCTGTCTAAGCCTCGGATAGAACTGATTCCCTTCTTTTTTCTTTCTGGTGCTCTCTTCTCATTATCCGGGTCTCTTTTCTATCTCATATTTTTCTTTCTCAATTATGTTTTCAATTGTGTTATTAATATGTTTCTTTCTTTTTAATTATGTGTTGAATTATGTGTTTATATTTTCAATTATGTTTTTAATTATGTTTTTGATTATGTTTTTGATTATGTTCTTAATTATGTTTTTAATATATTTCTATTAATTATGATTTATTAGTTTTAGGTAGGACCAATGGGATGGTGCATGCTGCTTCTCTTTTCGTTTCTTTTTCTAGGTCTCTTATCTATTTTTATATATTTTCTATTTGTATTTTATATATGTGTATATATATTATTTTCTGTTTTATATATTTTTTTGTTTTTTTATTTTCTCTTTAGCTTTTTCTTTTCCAGGATAGATCGTCGAGGGATAGGTTCATCTGCGAACGGATGCATCGTCGTCTGGTTGGATTCATCCTCGATTTTTACGCGTGAATACGGGAAGGATAGGAAGAACACTGGCGCGCGTGTCGGCGGGCACAGGCGTTGGTGTTCTCGGGCGCGATTAAACTTCGTTTGATTGTTCGAATCGAAAACGCGAATTGTAGAGTAGAGTCATCGTATTTCTAACACTTGCGTGGGTGTTCGGGCGCGATTAAAGGTCCTACCGTGGACTTCGTTTGATTTTTTCCAAATTTCGATGGGGGTACTTCGCGAATTTCGGCCTAACAGTAGAATCTACGTAATAACAACACACACGTGAGTGTCGCGACGCGATTAGTATTTCTAAGGAGTGCGCTTTGATTGTTCGAAATTCGGAAAGCACAATTCAGATGTGCTGAATATTCCGTTATGTCTGAAGTGGACGGTGCAAACGGTGGAGCTATCTGTAAGAGGTGTGCAGTAGCTAATGCTACGCATACCCTGTTAGTTAAGAAGCCAGTGCATTGAAGCGGAAAGGTATCGCGGATCGGTATCGCGGTACGCGGATTTTAGAGTAGAGTCACCGTCAGTCCGTGGGTCTCCACATGCAGCAACCTCCACGTGGTGAGACCTGGGTCGGTATTACTTGCGTTATTTCGATATATAATTCCACATTATATAACGCAAGTATTACCGAGCGAATAGCTGCTTATATAGAAAAACTTATATGTAACTTTATGTATAGTATTATATATAATTAACATGATTAAATTATATTATATATAATTATTTATTATATTATATATAATTTAATCATGTTGTGATAGAATCGCAAATTCTTCAAATTATTTGTTACTGTTTGGAAATACATTTATAAATATATATATATATATATATATATATATATATATATATATATATATATATATATATATTATTTGATTTAAGAAATAAATTGTAGGTTAAGTTTATTGGAAGATTAAATAAATAGTTTTATAGGGTATCAAAAATAAATATATCTCATTAAGAATATTATTATTATTATTATTAATGTTATTGGATTATTAATAATTTGAACAGTAGGGGCGTTGTTATCTTTTTCCAATAATTCATGGGTAATAATGTAATCTTACTTTCCTTGAGATGGAAGAGAAACTTCTTTTTCATAGAATCTTTCCTAAATTCTTTTCGTACAAATATGAGGTATGGATTATCTGACTATTACCTAAAATCATATTAATTACTTTATATATTTCTTAGTAAGATTATCAATGCAAAGAACACACAAAACGTTTCTATGATTTAATGGATTGAAATGTTTTTCAACGTCTAGTATTGATCGCCTTCTTTATTTAATTTACGATACATAATTTTCAATATTAAAAATATTTCATTGTTAAATTTAATATATATATATTCATATATAATGTATTATCATATAGTTGAGGATAATACAGATTTCTACTTTTCTACAATATTCAACCTAAGTAAGTATTTATGTGAACTAAAAGATGGCGCTGGCATTAATTGACTTCGATCTCTCGACGAAGAGCATCATATTGATGGGTTTGTGCAAAAACAAAGATGGAAGATGCGCGTCGTCGCGCAAACGAAGGCCGTCGAGTACGTGGTCATAGTGATGATGGTAGGGATGTGAAAGAGAGTGAGGGAGTGATGGAGTGAGAATGTGAGAGGGAGTGAGAGAGAGAGAGAGAGAGTGTGTGAGAGTGGTTTGTTGGAAGGTGGAAGGAGGAGAGGCGGTCAATCTAAACCCGATAACGAGCCAGCTGGTGGCAGTGCCGTTGTAGAAGGTTTTGCGGGAAGGTACTTTTCGCAGAAGATTCTTCTCTCCTTTTTACCCGTTTTCTTCGTACAGTGTGTGCGTGCGTGCGTGTGTGCGTGTGTGTGTGGATGGGTGGGTGAATGAGTGCGGCTTGTATAGTTGTGTATTTTTTGTTTGTATGGTGACAGTGAGTTGCGTGAGAGCGACATACGTCGAGAATATAAGAGAGAGGAAGGTGTATCAGGTGAATCGGGAGAATCTTTACAGTGCGCCTTTCATTTTCTCTTCGTATTTTAAGGGTGAGAGAGTCGAGTTGACGGATCGAAGAAGCAAGAGAGAGAGAGAGAGAGAGAGAGAAAGAGAGGCGCAAAAAAGAAAGAAAAAAAGTAAATAAATAGAAACGAAAAGCATGCCGTGATCAGAAGAGAAGGTCGGTATGTATCCGGGACGAGAAGGTCGGCGGTTCACGTAGAGCACGCGCGACGATTCCAACCGAAGACGAAGACGAGACGCAGAGTCGACAAGTAATAGAAGAGGAAGAAGAACGACGACGACGACGACGACGACGCTGACGACGACGCTGACGACGACAAAGACGACGACGAAGATAACAACGAGAAGATTTACCTAAACCAATCTCGCCATGACTTTAAGACAGCTTTACGTGAAGGTATATACATACGTATCTACGAGACTGTACTTAATTCTTTAAACTTTCAATTAATTTTTCAATTCCTCATTTGTGTGAACATTTTTCCTTAAGGTCATCACTTTTTTTTTTCTATTTATCCAAGGTTAGTCATTTTCAAAGAGAACGTTCGAAAGTTTCATTTTATTTATATGAAGTTCACGTTGAACTTATTTATTATCCTGTATGAAAAAGCTTAGAAAAATAATGACGGATTCTTACTCTCGCATAATTATTTGATGTGGTAATCAAGTATTTTATATTTAAAATATGATGTAATACGATGAAAGGAATGACGATCAGTTAGCGTTTGTTAAGAATGCATTTTATTCATTAAATTTTTTTTATTCAATTATTTCTTATTCTTGAAAATTTATCATTGTCAAAATTATATTTATTATAAAACGAAATTCGTTAGGCTTCTTTCAAAATAATAGTAGTCACTTTTTTTTTCTAATGTTTGTTGTTTTCTTCTAGTCACCTTCGCGATATATATTCTTATGATAAACGTTCCGGTTTATCTCGATTGACGGATACAGATTGACGGACGTTTGATGAAATGTAAAAGAAAGAAATTACATAAGAAGAAAAAAGAAAGTTGCTCGATTAATTATCTTTATTCTTTCTTTCGTTTCGGAATATTAATCGTCAATGAAATTATACATTATATCTATAATGTAAATGTAAAAAGTTTAAGGAATGTCAAAAAATGATGTAGAATTTCCCGCTATTACTTTATATCTCTTCACGTGATCAGGATATTTATCCTTTATGGGGCAAGGAAAAATCAATGGCAAGAGTAGGACGTAGAATATATGGTCGATAAATGTAGGACCTAAATTTCGTTCGTGAGAAAACAGGTGAAGGAGGAAAATTCGCCTCTCCCGAATGAGAGTGGGTCACAGTAGTGTAGTAACACGGTGAACGCGTTTATCGAAAGGGAACGTTCCGACTTTTGACGTAAATATCGATCGGACACCCACACAATTTCACCTTTGCTCTCATTCGCGCCAATAGAATTCGAATCTTCAGCTGGGCAGCATTACATCGTACGTGGTTCATGCATGATCGTAGAAATTCACAACGATCGCTTTCGAATCTGCTCGAGAAAATGAGAAAGATCGAAGAGATCTTCATATGTGAATCATCGTTTTGATCGTTTATCGAAAATTTCGAAATTAGCTTTATCCTCGTCCAATCGTATTATCATTGTTCAGACGAGAATTATTAATATCTTTTGTTTCTATTTCTTCTTTTTTTTTTTTCTCCGTAATAATATTGCGTATCAATTCATTTTAGATGTAATATATTCTTCATACAGTTTCTCAAGATAGTATAAAAATTAATATAAAACTTTTTATATATCTGTTTGATATACTTGCTACTAATGTTTAATATATACTTATCTTTCTGCAGTAAATAGACATTTTCTTTGTCGCAATGTTTAATCGATACAATCGAGTGATTACAAGATTTAACATCGATTGAAAACTTCAAAGTAATCATTGATTTAGTCATGTTACCAATACCTATATTGACTAGCATAAGATTATTGGTGGCATATCAGTTATAATAGTACCGTTAGTTTACCATTAGATTCGATTTCCCATGTAGCACGGTTGTTACGAGAAAGAAAAATCTCGTAGGAACGTTCTCATCTCTTCTACGCTTCCCTCTTTAAGGTTCTATCGAGACTTTCCATATTGCTCGTTGATTTATCGCTTCGGTCAGGTGAACGGCGAGGGTTGACCGAGGTCATGTTGATGTCTGTGAGTTTCTTCTCTTTCTCCTTTCTCTTTTATCCTTTTTTCCTTTCTTTCCATTTCTTTTTTCCTTTTTTTACGACGCGCTCCATCTGAAGAGATTTTTTTTTTAATTTCTCTTTCTCTTTCCGAGAGATAGAGAAAGTTTATATCTCGCGCTGGAAATTGATCATAAAGATAATAGATAACAAAATAACTAATCTCTTCGTTTTTTTCTTTCGTTCAATCGTAATTAATATTCGTAAGTGCTTTTTAAAGTAATCGTTTATAGAAAAAAACAAACGATGTGGAATTTGAAATGGTGAAAAATACATTTTCATTTGAATAAAGAAAAAAAAAAGAAAAGAAAAGAAATATGTATTTTCATAAGAGACAAAAATATTAAAATATAATAAATTTGCGTATAATAAGGAATACATTCGTATTCAAACGTTGTTCATTCTTGAAATTCATGATCTTCGTCTAAGTCATAAACGCACCTTTATGTTAAAGAGCCAGTCAACCTGGTTCAAAGCTGTTGCTGGAGCGATCGGCCGTCGTAGAAGGTGATTCGTATAGTTCGTTTCGAGCCAAGCAAAATCCTTTCTCTCTTTCAGAAATGAAACCTCTCGAGATAGATCGTTCTACCTGTACTCTTTCTCACTCCTCTATAAGTACAAGGAATTCCCAAAGTGTCTGAGGAAGAATTAAAATTTATTTTGTTCAAATCTTTGTTTGAATATATATTATTGAAAGAAAATATTCTATACGATGTAAAGTTTATTATATCTCTTATCATTTTAATTTCTAATTATAAAAACAATTTTATACGGATCTAAAAATATAGAATTGCATTTATCTATTGTATTTCATTCGTAATGCTTTTTTTTACAGTGTTAACTATGTTACAATTTATTCCGATTATTATTCCGTAGATAAAAATGTAATAAACCGATGATAAAGGCTTAAAGAAACGACGTGTCGCTACGTTTTACACGTCGTTACATTTCGATTCGAAGACAAATTTCTACAAGACCTTCCAGAAGCTTCGAACACGATATTAGGCATGGATGATCACACATTAACCAGCGATGTTTTTGAATAAAAGTTACCGAAGCCATTTGGTCTAACGACCTTACCTTTAATAGTACATAATTCTAGAGTCATGAATTTTTACGTATCCCTATATGTTATCTACGTTCTTAATCTTTCTCTCTCTCTCTCTCTCTTTCTCTCTTTTTATCTCTCTCTTTTTTTTTTGTGAAAAAAGAAGCAGAATGTCCCCGAGTCGTTCTCCTTGTCTCCAAGTCGTTGGGTTCTTTCAACGAGAACCGAGAGATTACCGTATAATTGCGAAAGTCCTCATTTTTGTGACGATTATATACTTTAGAAATCTTGATTATTTCAAGATAATCAAATTTTGTGGAAGATCGATTAGATTAGACATATATGTTTTGTAATTTTTATGAAAGGTTTAAATATCTTACGTCACTTTCCTAAATTATTAAAATTAATTATTAGGTATATATACATATTGCTTCTTCCAAACATTGATTTTTAGTATGCAATATATGTATATATGTGTATATATGTATATATATGTATACATTGATCTGAATGGAATATTTATACTAATATATTCCGATTGATTTCGATTAAATAAATGGGTTTTATTGCATATTAAAATGGTCCATTTTTAAATAATTTCTATCATAGTAAATAATAATTTTACTTTCTTTTTTATTTTTATTTATTTATTTTTTTTTTCCTTTATTTTTTTGCGAGCTTGTTCGTTCATCGTACCTCTTGATAATCTCTTCGAAGAGAATTCAAATGGAAAGTCGAGGACGAGCCTTCTTCTTCGTGGGCTTTCTATGCGATGCGAAGATTCCTCGAGGCAGTATCTCACAAAGTTCTTCCTTCGTTTTTACGACCGCGATTTTAACTTTAACAAGGCCTACCTCTCAAACCAAGCAAGTTTCCTTCTCACGGATACGCTTCTCTTTCTTTCGTGGAAGATGCGCTTGATTCATTAATTTTCTTTCTCATTATCTAAATATATCTATATTTTTTGACGATTAACTATTATTAGACATGATTAGACTAATAATAATAATAATAGTAATAATAATAATAATAATAATGAACAATTGATTTTATCATCTATTCTTTACTTATTTATTTATTTATTTTTTATATAAACCAACTTGAATTTTATCAGGAAAGTAAAAAAAATTCAATAGTAAAGATTTCTACAAATTTCACGCAATTAAAGTTATTTCCTTCATATATGGAACGTAAAATGAATAAATATGAATATTCGTATAGTGAAGAAAAAGAAAACGAAGAAGCGTAGCAAAGGGTCGTATGAATATATGTGGGTGGTAAAACTTGACCTCGTTATTCTTTGCACAGAAGAACATAAACTCTCGAACATTTTCTCACTGTCGTGAAATGTCATGAAAGAGCCGAGGTAGGAAAGCATGGATCGATTGTCGAATGATATTGCTAAACCATACAGAGAGAGAGAGAGAGAGAGAGAGAGAGAAAAAAAGAGAGAAAATATATATATATAACATTGTATGCATCATATCATTATTATAAAATTATATTCAATATCTCTAAAAGATATATACAATGGACACTTAGCTGTTCCATATAAATGTTTAGGGGAAAAAAAAAAAAAAAAAAACGTTATCTTAAGGTAAAACTTAGATTGCTTCGAGAGTTTACTTAGCTTCTTTCTTGTTTCTTATTTTTTTTTTTTTCCTTTTCTTTTCTTTTTCTTCTCCAAACAGTTAAATCTGTCAGTAAAATATCATTGAGTTTACGTTACTTTAAGCTGGTCGGCAAAGACTTCGTTCGAACGTTCGAAAGAAGTCTTTAAAAGACTTCTTCAGTCGGCAACATGAGCTATCGCCGTTTTTTCCGGTGCCAGCCAGTTGGAATTTTTCCAACTCCTTCTTTCATCTACAAATTCTCTTTTTCACATATCCTTCCTAGGATCTGTACTTGCTACGATTTTTCATTCTCCTTTTTTTTGGACAAAGAAAGCAATATTGTGGATATCAATCGATCCAGATTTATCACTTGAAATCGTGATTAATTTAATGAATCAACGAAAAAAAAAAATCATCGCTGATTAAATTTGTGATCAATGTACGATTAAATATCACAATCTATCTATTTCGAATATTTTCAAAAGTTAAAATTTCTCTATTCAAAAGTGATATCAAAATATTATTCGTGTTAATTGTTACGAAGGTAAATCGATTCAATTAATTTATTCATTCGATCACATTTCATTAAATTAATATCAAAACTACGAAACATTTTGTCGATCGTGATAAACTTTTTTCCAAAAAATTATTTTAATTACGTAGTTTTACTTGAAAACGTTGATACCGATAACGAAAGTAATGTTTCGTAAGTCATGTAGATCACAGTTTAATCGTTCGTTTAAAAACAACCGAAATGTTGCTCAAATAAAAATTATAATTTTTTGAATAACAGCAAAAGCTGAGCTAGTGTGCAAACAGATATTTTTTTTGCGCTTGGAGGAATTCACGTCGATATGACTCATTCGAGGATGACCTCGTGGCGATAAGATTGCGAGTTCCACCTTCCGCATCGCTCCTCCCTCTTCTCTCTCTCTCTCTCTCTCTCTCTCTCTCTCTCCCAACAGATTGAAAAGTTATTGAACCGAAGTCGTGTTAGAAACGTTTAAAATTATTTCTCAAAAAACAGAAACTTTTCTCGGTCTTTGCAAAAAAAAGAAAGAAAAAAAAAAGGAAGAAAACATTTGAACTTATTTAAAAAATTTTCAATTCAATGAACAGTGATATAGATAGATATTTATAATAGATAAATATAATTCATACATGTTAGAAGAATATAATGGAACATAGCTCTCTCGTTGTAAATACATTCCCGAGTGAATAGACGAACGCGACAGAAGCCGTAGATTGGTGCACAGTTTGCAAAGCTCGACATAGACACAACACGAGGGTGGAATAGTGGTACGTGCTCATGTCACCCTTGCTTCTATCGTGTGTTGTAACTTGAAAGATAAAGAGGAACATAATCATATTGGAAATCCTTTTCTTCTCAATTTGTTAGATGGATTATAGCGATCGTAAGAGTACATACAAATTGCAACAAATTCATTTCCTATTCCTGCAATCTAGTTTGCGATTCTAGTTTGACATGAAGGCTTCTTCTTTTTTTAATAATTTATACTTCAAACAAATCAGCTTTTAATTTAATATAACAAAAGTACATTACTTTTATAGAATATTAATTTAATAGAATATTTGTTTCTTAATCCTATTATTATAGGCTTTAAGAATGAACTGTAAAGAGTTCAGTGAACGTGCATTGTAAGAAAAGAAAAAAAAAATATGTTTTAAAGACTAGCTCGCAAAAACAAGTACTTATCCTTGTCTTCTCGCGATTGTTCTTTCTCCGATATGGCATTACGGAATTCCATCGAGTTTTTAGCCGTTGCGTTTGCGGTCGACTTGGTGTAACTCGTGCGACAAATTAGAGACGGTTCCTTATAATATATACCTCGGAAAAAAAAAGATATAGAATTACACTTTGACAAGCGTGAGATCTCTCTTTCCATCTTCTTCTTCTCCATTTATTTCTAAAGTACAAAAGAAAGAAAGAGAGAGAGAGAGAGAGAGAGAGAGAGAGGAAAGAAAATTTATGTTCATTAACTTTTCATCGTTTCGTAACACGAGCCTAGAATAGACTCTCATTCGTTTCTACGATAAAGAAAGTTTAAGACCGTATTTTTTATCAAAATATCCTCGCTTGAAAAGCCATTTAAGAAAAATATGTGCTTTCCAAAATAAATACGAATAATTTCAAAAATATATTTTTCATTCATACATATATATAAAATTTAATCAATTATATACGTGTGAATAAAAATACTCTATCAATAAAAGTATCTATGTAAAATGTACTTTACTGTTATTCAACATAATTTTTTCGTATGACCACTCGTTCTGATTGCTATAATTTTCGTAATATCAAGATGGACGAATTTGAAAGAAAGAAAAGAAAAAAAGAAAAAGAAAATTCTTGTAATTAAGATAAAACTGTTTTAGTGGGCATACCTTTCATCGTAATATATCATAAGGTATCATAGGATACCGTTGAACTGGACATTCTCAATGAAAAGAGTCTCGTGGGAACACTATTCTTCCACGTACTTTTTATTTTCCACGAGAGGCACGAGACTCGCAATAATAATAACTTTCCTAGTTGCGTGAAAATATAGTTTACGTGTAATCATAGAAAGCATGGGAACTGGCCTCTTAGACAAACCTGTTAGATCACTGGCAGGATTCTATGCATATTAATTACGAACGAGTAAAAGTGAAAACTTATATGACACGCATGTTTTATTCGTCGTATTATTATTTGCTATTAAAAATGATTATTAGTAAGATTGCAAAATAGAACAGGTGTAAAGGCAAAGAAAAAAAAAGTCAAGATAAAAAAATTTCACCTTAAATGTTAAAAGTCAATGTAGTTGATTTATTTGATGAACGGTGAAACGGACAATCTGATTCCTGATACGAGAGACGAATTATAAAAAGCGGGCAGGGAGAAGGGAGAAAGAAAGAAATGGTCGATACTACTCGAGGATTCTTCCGTCTCGTGACGGACACTCCTTGGGTCATGAGTTCACGAATGAATTGTACATCTCCCCGCCGACGAAGAAATTTCTCTTGTTTTCTTTTTTTTTCCTTCGTTCTTTTTTTATCTTTTTCTTTTGTTCTCTCTTTTTTGTCAAACGAATTAATTATCATTGAAATCACATAATAAATTATTCAGAATTAATTAATTATTTATATGTTATTTTAATCGGATTAAATCTTCCTAATAATTTGATATCTATCATTGTAAATACCACGGCAGGTATAATAGATATGTAGGACGTATTAATCGATTTTCTAACGTTTCGAAATACGTATCTAATATGCGACATTTTAAGAAGAACTATTCAGTCATGCGAATTCCGTTATGTAAATGTAAACCGCTTTAAGAGAAAGTTGCAGATAAGAGAATCGAGTATGCGATACCCACATAAGTCTATTTATATTTCTAAGTACATATCTATATTATTTATTAGAGTACGAAATAGACGTCACACATATTATTCAGTCAAAACAAATTTTTTTTATTTGTATTTTATCACTTTTGTGTAGATAAAAGAATTGACTCCTCTTTAACGTATTTAACATTTCACGCTTGCTTATTCATCGTTTTTCTTCGTTCATAAAATTGAGTTGACAATAACATTATGCGTAATGCTTTTATTGATGAGCCTGATAAAAGCATTTTTTAATAAACGCAATATTATCCACATGATGACGTAATAAGTGTAGTCAAAGAATGTAATGAAATAAGATAAGATACTGCAATAATACTTTATCAATAGCGTTTAATCATTCATCAATATATCAAAGAGAAGAATCATGACGATTCAGTTGCACTTTCTTTCATATTCTTTACTTTTTCATGTTACGCTACGTTAACCATAAAATTTGTTCCTAGTGCAGAATATTACGAGTTAACGTACGATAGTTATGTTGAGAGTATAGTACAAAGTTTCATCATTATATACAATTTATATAGTTTCACGGTAAGTCTTACATGGTTATGTAGCATTAATCATTCTTATGTTAGTTTTATGTATCGCGTAAGTAAGATGAAAGATAAATAAAAGTTGAATCTTACACACGCATTTATTATACAACATTTACTTTCTTATTCATAATTGACTTGAATACTATGCACACACACACACATATATATATATATATATAAATGAATGGAAATTCTGAATATTTAATAATTATCACGATTTAATTATAATTATCAATACATTGGCGATTACTTTCTTGTGAATTTAATCCTTAAACTAAGGATTTTATGGTCGTTAAGTTACACGCACCGATTAACTCGAACGAAAAGGTCTTCCATGAAGTGAAGGTGGAGGAAACGATGACAAAATAAAAAGCATGATTTACCGTTGCTCGACATTCCTTTGGATCTTGTACTTACATGTTACAGTATTCCGTTAAATGGTAATTCATATATACATACGTATAACGATTTCATCGTTACCTCCATCGTGATGTGACAACAAATGTAAAAGTTCACTCGACATTTCTTTTCGTCGATTACCGTTAGCTGACTTTTAAAACAGATCGTTCTATTTCTCATGAAATTCAACCTGGTTGTATGTGCGTTCGTTCTCCTTTTTTTTTTTTCTTTTCTTCTTTTTTTCATTTCTTCGTGCACCACACATCGATTTCTTTTCTGCTTCTAATAAGATGACGATGTTTGCTCGTCGTTTGTTTGCTCAGATGATGATATTACATCGATACTATACGTTCGTTTTATGGAAATTACCTATGTATGATAACGTTCATCATATTTATACTCAGAAATTGTACCATACATATTTTTTAAGAGAATTCGTAAATTACAATAATTACAATAATGATGTCCTGATGTCATTAGTTTAGATACGTAAATAGATGCGTTCATAGTATTATCTAATAGCTTCAGCTGTGAAAGGAAATAAAAATAGATACCAATTAAAAAGAGAAAAAGTTGTCGCCTTTTTCTTCTTCAAAGGTACGGGCCGAATGAATCGATATGATTCCAGTAGTTGGCCTCGTTCGTCGTAACACGGGTTTGCTTCGTGTGTAAATGTAGGGCACCTTGTGAAAGGAAAATTAGCCTGCAATCAATCAATGCAAGGTGTGTCGTCGAACTGCCATTTCCACTATCATGTTATTTCGTTCATATGTTAAGTCCCATTTCATCGTAGATACGTATCGATGATTAGAATAATGAAATTGATTAGAGCCGTTTATCTTTTATTTTGAGACGATTGGGCAATTAGAACGATTATGTAATTATAATTTTAAATGAGCATAATTATGTTAAATTATCACGTCTTAACGATTAATAGATTTATATGATTTGTTCAGGGCGGCAAAGTATGGATACCACATCCCGAAAAGATTTGGGAGGGTGCTGTCCTCTTAGAGGATTACAAAGTAAATCGGCCAACATTAAAGGTACACACAGACGACTCGAATCAAACGAAGACATTACAAATAGGAAGCGATCATGATCTACCCCCATTAAGGAATCCGGATATTTTGATGGGAGAAAATAATCTTACATCTTTGTCGTTCCTTCACGAACCAGCTGTTCTTTATAATCTACAAATACGTTTTCAAAGGCATTGCATTTACACGTATTGCGGTATCGTTTTAGTCGCTTTTAATCCTTACAATGAATTGCCCATATATGGAAATGATACGATATGGGCATACAGAGGTCAAGCTATGGGAGATTTGGAACCTCACATATTCGCTGTGGCTGAGGAGGCTTATACGAAATTGGAAAGGTGATTTAATTTATTTAAAAAAGAATAATTTATATTGATTAATGTACAAAGTTGATTATTATTATTATTGGCACTTATATTACTCGGTTTCATTGACGAAAAATTTCAGGGAAGGACATGATCAGTCCATCATCGTGTCCGGTGAATCAGGTGCAGGTAAAACTGTGTCGGCAAAGTACACCATGCGATATTTCGCTACTGTTGGCGGTTCCACGACGGAGACACAAATCGAGAAGAAAGTATTAGCCTCGTCACCAATCATGGAAGCGATCGGCAATGCGAAAACAACGAGGAACGATAATTCCTCGAGATTTGGAAAATTTATTGAAATACAATTTAATAAAACATATAATATCACTGGTGCCAGTATGAGAACTTATCTTTTGGAGAAGTCAAGAGTCGTCTTTCAGGTAAAGAGGAAAATTATAATTTATAAAAATTCTTATTGTAAATTAGATCAATCGAAAATTTCGAACTGTATGTCATCATATTCTATTAATTATATCGTTCAGGCAAACGAAGAGAGGAATTATCATGTGTTTTATCAAATGTGCTCGGCAGCGAAGCGTCTTCCACACTTACATCTTGGAAACTCAAACGGGTTTCATTACCTCAATCAAGGAAACAATCCTAGAATCGAAGGAGTCGACGATCTCTCGTGTTTCGACGATACAATTAGTGCTCTTACGATGCTCGGTTTTACTTCTAAACAGCAAGACGATATGTTACGAATATTATCAGCCATATTGCATTTAGGAAACGTAAATATAAATAGTTTTGATGCACAGAGCAATAATGGAGATAACGACACCGAAGCTAGTTTTATTTCTGTAAGCTGTCTGCCTATAAGAAATTTCACGATTCAAAGATCATTAGTTCATACGGACTTTCCTTAAAATTTTTTAGCCAACCGATAGACATCTTTTGATAATCTCGGAATTACTTGGTACGGACGTTAACGCTATGCGAAAATGGCTTTGCCATAGGAAGATCGTATCTATGAGGGAAGTCTTTTTAAAACCAATGAATGCGGAGCAAGCGATAGGAGCTAGAGATGCTTTGGCAAAGCACATTTATGCCGAGCTATTCAATTGGATAGTGAATGGTATCAATAGTTCCCTCCAGTCTCAAAACAAAGCTCAATGTTTCATTGGTGTGCTAGACATTTATGGATTCGAAACATTTGAGATAAATTCATTTGAACAGTTTTGTATAAATTACGCGAATGAAAAGTTACAACAACAATTCAATCAGCATGTATTTAAGCTTGAACAAGAAGAATATCTCAAGGAGGAGATCGAATGGACTTTCATAGACTTTTATGACAATCAGCCGTGTATCGATCTAATAGAAACGAGATTGGGCATATTGGATTTGCTAGACGAAGAATGTCGGGTAAGATACATGATTTTCATTCAAATATCATAGGTCAATTGAGATAGTATCATGTAGAATAAATTTGAGTTATCTCATCAAAATATTCTGACAGGATAGTTTCTTAATTTTAAATATAATTATTCACAACTCGTATATGGCAATTAATTTTCTTTATTAGCAAGTAATTATTTGACACAGATGCCAAAAGGAACGGATAGCTCGTGGGCGGATAAACTCTATGCAAAATGTAAAAAGTCGAAACATTTCGAAAAGCCAAGATTTGGTACTTCCGCTTTCTTGATTCATCATTTTGCTGGCTTAGTTCAGTACGAAACATTAGGTTTTCTTGAAAAGAACAGAGACACAGTGATAGAGGAACAAGTAGATGTGTTAAGGGCTGGTAGTGTAAGTTCAAATCTTTGGAATATTCTCAATTCTTCTAATCGTTTACGTACAATCTTTGTACATTCGATTTTTATTCTTTCAGTGTAAATTATTGAAGAAGTTGTTTTGTGAGGAGGATCCAAAATTGGTTGTACCTAACGTAAGAGTCAAAGTGTCCGCACAAAAACCAGTAATAACTCCCAAGCATAATAAGAAAACGGTAAAAATTATTTTCTTATTAGAAATAATATATATATATATATATATATATATATATATATATATATATATGTCTATATAAATTTGTAATAATTTTCCTTAGGTTGGCTCGCAATTTCGAGATTCTTTAAATATGTTAATGTCGACGTTAAATGCAACGACTCCTCATTACGTTCGTTGTATCAAGCCAAACGATACAAAGGAATCATTCGAATATAATCCTGTACGTGCTGTACAACAGTTAAGAGCTTGTGGTGTGCTCGAAACGATTAGGATTTCTGCTGCTGGTTTCCCGAGTCAGAGAACATATTCCGAATTCTTTCAAAGATACAGATGCCTTTGTGTATTCAAAGAAATAAATCGCGATGATCTCAAAGAGACATGTTGTCGTATATTGTCTAGGTAAAGTGACAACTAAAACTTAACAATTAAGAAAAGATTTTATTTCTACGAAATCGTTTTAATTTCTACAATATTACTCGATTAGATTTATCAAGGAAGAGGATAAATTCAAGTTCGGGAAAACAAAAGTTTTGTTTCGTGCCGGACAAGTGGCTTATCTCGAAAAGCTCAGAGCAGAAAAACAAATGAATGCTTGTATAATGATTCAAAAAACTGTTCGAGGTTTAATATGTCGAAACAGGTATGAAAAAATCAGAAGGGCGATTTTAGGTCTTCAAAAATATGGAAGAGGATTTTTGGCAAGGCAAGAGGCTGAAAGGATTAGACGTAAAAGAGCTGCCATTAAAATTCAAGCTAATGTTAGAAGTTGGCTACAGAGACGACGGTATCAGCAAATTAGATGCACAATTATTGGTATTCAGATATATGCTAGAGGTAAACTAGCGAGAGAAAGGTATCGTTTGATGAAGCAAAATGCAGCTGTAACGACTATTCAACGATACATAAGAGGATATCTAGTCAGAAGGGCATGTGAAAAGAAATTAAGGGATATCGTTATAGTTCAGTCCTGTGTAAGAAGATACTTGGCCAAAAAAGTGTTTAAAAGATTGAAGGCTGAAGCTAGAAGTGTAGAACACGTGAAATCTCTTAACAAGGGTCTAGAGAAAAAGATTATCACTTTGCAACAGAAAATAAATGAACTCGTAAGTTTTTCTCATTGTTATGCAACGAGTTTAATTTAATTAAATACATAATTATTTGAAATCATTACGTTCATTTTAGGCAAAAGAAAATCAACACTTGAAGAATGTACATAATGAAGTATTTGACTTAAAAAATAAATTGGAAGGACTTAAATCCGTAGAAGTCGAGAACAAAAAGTTAAATGTTATTTTATTGGAAAAAGAAAAAGAACTGGAAAAAATGCAAAATGTATTAAGGCAAGAGAGAGATGAAAAAATGGATATTTTGCAGGTAAATATTTGAAATTGAAATTATTCGAATTAACGATATACGTAAATATTTTTACTTATTCATTTATCTCATTCTTTTATTATCTTATTTTGTATCCAAGTTTTTGTTGTTCTATAGGATAAAGAGAAAATCAGTCAGGAGAAAGGACAGGAGAACAAGAAACTCCTCGAGGAAAATGAAAAATTGCGAAAAGAACTTTCTGTGGCAAATGATAAGTTGAAGAGTAATTTACGTGGTGCCGAAGAAAATCTTAAACATCGTTTGGAACAGGAGAAGGATCTGCTTTTGTTGGATCAGGATCAGGATCGTGGTGCTTATCAGAAATTGTTGAAAGAATTCCACGAATTGGAGCAACATGCCGAGATGTTGGAACAAAAACTTGCTCTCCACGTACCAGGACATTCTCGTTCTTTGAGTAATGCCTCTAGTAACAGCGGACAAGTAGTTTCAACGGAATTACCGCAGGATGACCAAAACATTGTAAAATTTCATTTCATTACATTTATTATGACGATCATCGTCGAATAACGTATAAAATAAAAATGCAATGTAATGATTTTTCCTTTTTTTCTTTTTCTTTTTTTTTTTTTTTTTTTTTTATGTAAAGGATTTCGGTTATGGATCCGTTCGTTCAACAACATCGTCGTCGACGCCATATTCACGCGTAGAAACGACCGATTGGAATCAACTACGTTCAAATACCCCACCTGATGGTGAAGTACAATCAAATAAATCACCTTCAGAAACGGCAAATGAACGAACCCATGCACCCGTGGATATTAATTTGGTATTGAAACTTCAACAAAAACTGAAGGACGTTGAAAAGGAGAATGGACGATTAATTAGAATGGTAGAAGATTTAGAACGTGACAGTCCCGAAGAAGCATCGCGAACGCAAGATACTTTTAGGGTATATAAAAATTAATTTAACAATGTGAATTCAATAATAGATTGTTTCAATCAATGATTGTATAACTAACTATACATGTATTTCTGATGTTTCTTAGCTTCAAGAATTAGAAATGGAGAATGCACAGCTTAAAAAGGATTTGGGCTCATTAAGGAAAATTGTATCGACTGCAGACTCAACAGCTGCACAGCAGCATCTTATAGGTAAATGGTTAATTGATACAATTAAAGAAATTCTTTATAACATTTTTCTTTTTATTCTATATATATAAAATTTTTGTTTCTCTTTAATATACATGTCTGTACGTATTATATACATACACCATTTCCTTTGGCTGTGCTACACAAAATACATTACACATATTTATTATTAACATTGACGAGCTTTTATTTTTATACCTTGCACACTTTACTACAATATTTGTTTGCGTGTTTCACATAAAATATTACATTGAGTTATTGTGAATCTTGTAATAGAATAATATGAAGTTGGGGAAAAATGGATTTAAGCTAGTTTTACTTCTGAGTTTTTTTTCCAATGAGTTTGACGTAATGTAATATTTAAAAATTGATTATTTAGGACAATTTGAAGCTCTTCAGGAAGAATTGGAAAGGAGAAGAGAAGAATGCATACAGTTGCATAGTGTGTTGGCCGATCATACTCGAAGAATGAAGAGCCTTGGTTCAAACTATGGTCGAGATGTTGACATTGTTAACGAAGATGGTGAATTAGTCCTTGCCTTCGAAGCACAGAAGAAGATAAATAGGTAATTCGATAATTATATCAGAGATTTAATTTCGTGGCAATTCGTGTCTAATCGTGTTTTGTCGTTTGTGCATGCAATTCGATTTTCAGTAGACTTAAGACAAAGCGAAAGGCATCAAGAGAGTGAGTTGAGTAGATTCTTTGACGCGAAACATTAGACATGGCATGTGTCTTGCATAAAGCTGAGTTATTCAATCGAATGCAATGCGAAAATATGTTAATTTAAATGATATCAAATTAAATAGAGAAATGTGCGATTATATTGAAGAAATATTCGGCGATTGAATAATTCCTTAAAACTTTCGTTAGATTTAAACAAATTTTCAATCGTTTTAATTCATTATAATTTATTCAAAGGCAACTAGAAGATGAATTGCAAGCAAAAGAAAAAGGTTGGAGGATTCAAAGGGATGAATGGAGAGCAGAGATCGACAGATTACAGGAAGAAATCGAAAAGCAACAGAAATTATTATCCGTCAATCTAAGTAAATCGCCCCAAACACAAACCGAAGCTTACATGCAATATGAAATTACAAGATTGACCTCTGAAAATTTGGTAAGATTATTAATTTTCAATCAGGCTTAAAAGTAGAATAAATTTGAACAATATATATGTATATATATATATATATATATAAACATTCTTATTGCAATATTAAAGGATCTTCAAGAGAAATACGATAAGATAGCAGAAGAATGCAGAAAGTTTAAGAAACAATGTAAAATTCTTGCGAAACGTCTCAAAGATGCAGGCTGTAAGTAAAAATGTTTAATATTCCTCTAGATAGTAATTATTAATTAACTAAGTAAGAAATAATATTTAAAAATATAAATTGTGAAAGTACTGCGATTAAGATTATTTTATTCTAATGCTATCGAAAGACGAAGGAAATGATATTAAGGAACATAAGGATCGTCCTTATGTGCTAAAAAACACTGGTGAGTGCATGGTCTCGATGAATCATCCATATCATTTGATATCACGTTTCATGCAGACCACAGCTCACCTGTACATAAAAAAAAAAAAAAGAATGGATCATTTATGATAATGTTAAGATTTTTTTATCAATTTGATCCTTTATATCTAATGCATGATGTATCAATTACAGTACCAGACAGTATAGAATCTGCTAATGACCCCAGTACTGTAACAACGACCAGCCATTCGTCCAGCGACAACGGAAGCATTATGCCAGCCATTCGTAAGAAAGAAAGAGATTACGAAGGAATGTTTGAATTTAGAAAAGAAGATATTGGTGTGGTAATAAGACATTTAGTTATTGGTAAGTCAATATGATATCCGTATGCAATAGGAATATCGGCCGATATTATTACAGTGTTTTAATTCCAATTCGTAGATTTAAAACCAAGAATAGCAGTGACTTTACTACCTGGGCTCCCAGCATATATAATATTTATGTGTATAAGACACACCGATTGCATCAACGATGACGATAAAGTTCGATCGTTGTTAACCGCGTATTTGAATGGTGTTAAACGCATTGTTAAGAAACGAGAAGATTTTGAATACAGCGTATTATGGCTAAGCAATACATTACGATTATTACATAATATGAAGCAGTATTCTGGCGACAAACCTTTCCAATTGGAAAATACAATTAGACAAAATGATCAGTGCTTACGGAATTTCGATTTAAGCGAATATCGAATTGTCTTGAGCAATGTTAGTCTATGGATTTTTAATAATATCGTGACGACTTTGAAGGAGCGAATTCAAGCTTTTACGGTACCGGCGCTTTTGGAGCACGAGGCGATCTCCGGCTTGAATTCCAACAAGCCAGGTCGACCCCGTTCGTCGTCCATGGGCGAGGAGCCGGATTCTACCCAGCAAAAGCTTGACAAGCTCCTAGACGAACTCAGTTCAGTGCACAAAACTCTTCTTTATCATGGTGTTGATCCCGAAATTATTATGCAATTATTTAAACAACTCTTCTATTTTATGTGCGCAAGTGCGTTAAATAATTTATTACTGAGAAATGAGCTTTGTCATTGGACCAAAGGAATGCAAATAAGGTAATTAATAGGAATTTTATAATTTTCAATTTAGAATGCAAATAATCAAATTCCAATTACTTTGATTAGGTACAATTTGAGTCACTTGGAACAGTGGGGTAGGGATAAACGAGTAGGAGCTGCTGCTGAAGCACTTCAACCTATCATCCAAGCGGCACAACTTCTTCAGGCACGAAAAACAGATGATGATGTGAATTCCGTTTGCGAGATGTGCAATAAACTTACGGCTAATCAAATAGTGAAAATATTAAATCTATATACACCGGCAGATGACTTCGAGACACGAGTACCGGTATCTTTTATAAAGAAAATAGAGGCCAAATTGGCCAAACGTGGTGAGAACAACGAACAGGTAAATATATGTACATACATATATATATATGTTTTTTTTTTTTTTGTTTTTTTTGGTAAAATTGTGATCACGATAAGAATACGATGTTACGAAAATGATGAATGTTTTTAGCTTTTAATGGACTTAAAGTATACCTATCCAATAAGATTTCCATTCAATCCGTCGAACATTCGGTTGGAGGACATCGAAGTTCCAGAGGTGCTTCATCTACCAATGCTCAAGAAGATCTAATTATTGGCAATATAATTCTAGAGAGTGGTCTCCTCTTACTGCTCTTCTGGCTTTTAGTTGATTATCGTTGTACAAGAAGCTACATTCGCTATTATTTTATTTATTAAAACAATCTAGTGATCCCGATACTCTAGTTACGTTATAGAACGCATGGAATGAGTTATCGATATAACATTTTATAATATATACATTTTTTTTTTACTACGTAATTTATATTCTACGAAATATAATTCTCTAATTCTCAAGTCGCGTCCGAATTAAAAAAAAAAAAAAAACATAAAAAAGAAATAATTAAATGAAAGACCGATTAGAAAAAGGAAATATATATATATATATATATATATATATATATATATATATATATATATATATATATATGTATGTATATAACGTAGCGTTCAATAAGGGAAAGTATTATATTTTGTTAAAGTTAACGCATGTTTAACAATTTTACGTTCGTAGATAATGTATATTATCGCAAGATGAAAAATTAGGAAAAGAAAAAAAAAATATTTATTCGTACTAGATAAATACGCATACAGATATTATATGGATAACAGAAGGTATTGAGACTACGTTAATTAATATAATATAGTCTCATTATTGCCATTTTTTTTTTATTCCATTAATTATAAATATTAGTTCCCTTTGCGATCGATGGCGTTAAGATTGCGTGTGCGATATTCGTCGGTACAACATTGATAAATATGCCAATCGTTATACCTGCATACATTGTAGAAAATATGTTGGAATTGTAATTAATATGTAAAAAAAAAGAAAAAGGAAATGCGAGAGAGAAGATATGTAACGTTACGTTGGAATAGACTGTATATTTTGTGATACGAAAGAGTTATTGTGTGAGAGAGAGAGAGAGAAAGAGAAGCATATAATGTTGTTATATTATAATTTATAAAAGAGTACAAGCGATTAATTTTTGTGCCATTTTACGAGTAGATGTTAACGGCATTCAATTCGATTCCCCATTTTCTCATATCCCATTCGGTTTGTCATTATTTTGCCTAGTACATTCGAACGAAATGTACGAATACATTCCATAGAATCAACTAATTGGAAAAGTAAATGCTTTTCCAAAGTGTTATTAAGCGGCAAATCAATCTATTTACGCGATTATTATACATTTACTCGATGTGAAAAATTTATTTGTTCCTACGATGAAAATAATAAATGAAATCGTTAATCATAATACGATGTTTCCTCTTAGACGATATATTATGCATACGTAAAGTATGAATCTGTGTACATAAAAAATGTGAAATATTTGAGGCAGACATTATATAAGTGAAATAATTTTAGAAAAAAGGATAGTATTGCAATTTTTTATTATCATATAAATTAACATTTTGTTATGTCGTGATTGCGAAAGAGATATGAAATACGAATACATAGAAATACACAGTATTAATACATTCAACAAGTAAAAATAATTAATTTAGGCTGCATCACCGGCATCATTTGGTGAACGTACGTCGTCGATCTTCAATATCATTTTTACCAATTGAGTCGCCAAACAAATTTGTTGAGTTTTGCTTGCTAATGTTTCAATAACATTTTGCACTTTCATATCTGCAATATATTAATATTTAATTTTATTGTCAATTGCAGATTTTAAAAAAATTATTCGACATAAAAATGAATAATTACCTGCAGTTCCGCGATTTAAACAATCAATTCCCAAAGATGGATTATCTTCTGTTAATTGTCGTGCCTTTATCTCTGCAAGAGCATCTACCGGGGAAAGACCTGAATTTTCTGCCAATGCCATTGGAACAGCTTCCAAGGCCTCGGCAAATGCACGGAATGCATATTGCTCTAAAGTACTTATCTTATCGGCTTGTGCTGCACATGCCAATGCACACGAAATTTCTGCTGCACCACCGCCGTACAAAATCTTTTTATCTTTGGTATTTAATACGTTGCGTACCGTGCACAATGCATCGTGAATGGCACGTTTAGCTTCTTCGATAATCTAGATTAAAGAAAGAAGGATGAAGTAAAGCTTTTACATATTTACCCTATGTATAAGTAATTAAAATCTTCTTTTGTATAATTCTAAACACTAAGCTGTAGCATGAAGACGCATTTGATCAATGAAATAAAGATACATTGAACGTTATTAAAATCATATTATGCATTAATTAATTTTGCAAGGTGTCTGGTCAGTAAAATGTATAAAAGACACGACTGAAATTCTCCTTGCTTGAATTACATATATCACAAGTATTTTATGAAAATTTCTTACCATTTTATTACCTCCACGTATAAAGATAGTTACTGCACGAGAATTTTTACATTCCTCAATAACGAGCATTTTGTCTTTGGTGGTACCAAAAGATAATTCCCTGACAACACCTGCGTAACCAAGTTTCTCTGGTGTTAATTCCTCGAATCTTGGTACGATACGACCACCCGTTGCAATAGCAATTAACTAGAAAATATTATATTTTTGTATAATTCGTATTAACAACATTATGTTAATATACGAATATAAGGCAGAGCCCTCAGATCTCATAATCTTATAGTCATCAGAGACACAGCAAAAGTAGGAGCGTTGGATAGATAATTCAAAAAGGATCCTTTTATTTTAATAACAATTAACATGACGTTAAATGGTAAAACAATGCAAAGATCATATGAATCAAAACAGACCAACTTTCCAAACTTTTACACCTCCTCCAGTACGCTTTGTCATCATTGGGCAAATAAGACATATATATACAGAAAAAAGATATTACTACTGTGTATAAAAACTTACTTCTATTTCTGGACCGCCAACCCATCTAACTGCTGGTAAATCATTTTGCAAAAGAAGATGATTTGCTTCATCGTCAAATCCCCATTGACAAATGGCAAGAGTTGTGCCAGCATCTTTAACCAATTTTACCATTTCTGTAAATTTCTCTCTTTCATATTCGCGCAATGCTCTATAGTCTTCTACCGAAGTGACATCAAGCTTATGTTTTGTCTTGGGTTTTGGTGGTTCAAAGGGACAAGTTAAGATTGCTAATTTGACATTTTCTAACCTCTGAAAAAAATTATTAATATCTAAATAATTAGATATCAATTTATAAAGTTTTAAACAGATATTATATATATATATATTTCATAAATCATATGTATTACCTTTGGCATCTGAGGATGACTGAAATCTTTGTCAATAACTACACCACGTACTAATACAGTATCTTCTAATCTACCACCAACTTTTCCTTCTATTTTGATTAATTCAAAGTTAACGTCCCATGTAACATGATCATAAACAGCTAATACGGCATTCACTGCAATTTCTGCCATTTGTCTATGGCATTTATTGATACTAGAAATAAAAGCATATATTATTTAGATCATGGTTATAATAAATATCAAAATTTTTAAAGGTAAAAGCTGTCACAAAATGAATAATTACATTTTAGAGCCCAGAGATGTCATAGCAATCTTAATGTAAGGTTCTAAATTTTCTACACTGTCTGGAAACTTGTGTGTAATTGTTTTAAGATGATCAGTTGCACATTTAGCAGCCATTTCAAATCCATCCGCTATTCTTATCGGATGTATTCCTTTATCTAATAATTGTTCAGCTTGTTCTAACAAAGCACCAGCTAATACAACTACTCCAGTGGTACCATCTCCAATCTCATCGTCTTGGGATTGAGACAATTGGACCATTAACTTTGCAACTTCATGATCTACATCCATATTCTTCAAAATTGTAGCTCCATCATTGGTAACGGTAACATCTCCATCCGAGCTTACCATCAATTTATCCAAACCTTTTGGACCCAAAGATGTTCTAAGAGTATTAGCTACATTACGGGCTGCTAATATATGCGACTGAAAATGCAAATTATTATTTATTATTTAATTTTACACACAAATTCATTATTATTAAAAGTTATTTTTAATAATCGAAACGTCTTATTTTATTATAAAAAGGAGCAAGAACGTAACGAATACCAAACAGATCTCCTTTTATGGGTAGAAAATGATCTCATTGATTTCATACGCCAATGTATATAAACGAACATTACTAAAGAATTAATTGAAAAATATATAAGAGATTCATTTCGTTCAAATAAATTCGTTTAAAATTAGAACAAAATCTTTCGTATCTTAAATAAATAATAAAAATTGAATTTGTTTCAAAATTGAATTGAAATAATGCTAAGCCCAGAATGTCGCCATTACGCTCTTCACATGGCTGATTATAAATTTGAGTAAATATCGAAATAAAATGATTCATTTAAATTTGTATAAAACACAATTACGATATAATATATTATATGAATATATAGTTTATAAATATTATAAAAGATATATTAATGTCTGAATTCGTACCTTAATTGCATCAATACCGGTTAATCGTTTTTGTTTCTCTTGGTCTCTTAAGATGATAAATGGACGACCATATTCATCAAACGCCACAGTTCCCGGAATAGCAGTCATTTTATTTTAATTTTCAAAATAATTACTTCTCGAATATTATAGAATTAAAATATTTATTAAAACGTTGTAATCCTAATATTTCACGCTCCCATGCAACCACAAATGACGAGGATAGCACAGGAAAGGAGGAAGTACATCACAATCCTTGTGGAAGTGCATCAAAATCCTTGTGGAAGTGCTGCCATCTTTTCCTGCATCACAATCTTTGTGGAAGTGCTGCCATCTTTTCCGAGTTGTTCAACGAAGAAGCGGTAAGTTTAAATTATCCGTCGATGTTCGATCTTTTGTCGAAGAAGTGAGTTATATTTAAAAATGGCAAATAAATTTATAGAAATTTTGTCGAACAATAGCAATTTTTTAATATTCAAAAAGAATTTAGAAATTTAGATAAATCGTGTATGTTAAAAAAATATCCATATTACATACAACATTTAACGTAATATACTGACATAGCATATTTCATAAGATTTTTAATATTATTCTATTTAAGTATTTTATTTCATTGATATTAAAAATTATAGTTCCTTCTTAAAATTTTCTTTTAAATAAGCAATCGATGATTGATCGAATTGTTTAAGATTTATTTTAGACGTTCAAAGAGAAAAGATACGATCGAAGTACTGATAGGAGTTTTCAAATTTATTTACTATTCATCGTTACTTCACATTTATTACTATTAGAGCTCTTTAATGTTGTATTGTTTGAACGATACATTTATTTGTGTATTAGATAGTCTCACACATATAATTACTTTGGAATTAATTCATTCAATAGAGGTACTTTTGACTCGAAGCCAGACACGGCCAAATTCCTTAAATTCTATGATACATCGTACGTATGAACATTCGATTTTTTTTTTTTTTTTTATACACTTTTCCGCTTATACAGTTGTTCTAAATATATTTCCAATCTTCCCTCGTAAGATCGAGTATTTTATATCTATGATATGTATTTTTATGCAGCTCATTTTTTCATTATCGTTTCCTTACATCGGGAAGACAGAAGGTAAAGGGTAAGGACAATTATAAATAATATCGTTGTAGACTAATAAAAACATATACTATCGTTGTGAATTAATAAAAAAGATGAATATAATTGTTTAGGCTTCTTGAATTAAGTTCTTTGACAAAAGAGAATTTTTTTGTTGGGAATTGCATATCGAGTATTACATACGTACGACGTAAAAAAAGAACGTGTATAGACTATATGTGTATATATTATATGTATATATATATGTATATATATATATATTATATATATGTATATATATATATATGCCTCGAGAAAATATATGAATACTATGCAAATATATATATATGTATGTGTATATGTATATATATATGTATAGCTTAATTATACATACGGATCAAAGATAAAAATATAATTTCGATATAACATTCATATTTAAAACATTCTTAATGCTTTTAGGCATTCGATTGATATGTTTGACTTTTCCTTATGTAATAATGTTAACACTTTTGAGTATATTTAATTTTAATTTATAAGTGTATATATATATATATATATATATATATATGTATATATATATATATATAATATATGTATATGTATGTATGTACGTGTCATTGAAAATTATAGATATGTATTTGGACTCTCGACGACTCTCATCAGTAGCGTAGAAACAAGGAATCATTATTTGGAAAGACGTACGACAAGGCGACAGGTACTCTAAGCATTTCAGAAAGGTTTTCGCGAGCGCGCGTTTATGATCTTTCATCATTTCTTTAGTTCTTTTTCCTTTTTTTATTTTTATTTTTTATTTATTTATTACTTTTTTTTGTTTTTTGTCTTTTTTTTTTGTTTTTATTTTCGTTTACGCTTTCTCTTCGTTTTAACGTCACGAACGCATCTCAGATCATGTTCATGCGAACATACGTCTATACAATTCTCCGACGTGTCACATACATATTTATATATTATCTTAATTAACAACGCGGTTTTTCCCATTTAACACGTGATATGTGGCAGAATGATAATTCCACAATCGATATTACGATTTTATCAATTTTCTTATTCCCATTTCGCCGTAGCTGATTCAACATTTTGTCTTTAATTCGCAATATAGATAAAAACGATAGCTCTCTGAACAAAATCTAGATGAACAAGACTTTCCTTGATACGTATATTTTGGTATAGCTCGTACGTTATCACTTTCACATAAATATATATAAGTATGTATGTAATTTTTTTATATATATATATAACATAGATATATATATATATAAATATATATATATATATATAGTTATGCCGTGTATTACACCGATTAACAATATTCAGAACGATTAAGTGATATTTAATTCAGAAAAGACGTCTATATAACAACACGTTACGATAAATTCATCAAACATCGATTAAGTTAAATACTAATTCGCGTCTTTGTCACGTTTACTTTCCATTTTGAAATATTTTAGTTTAGTTCCTTCACCACTGAATACGAAGAACGTTCGATTATACCTTTTCATTTGATATAGAACGTGAAGAAAGAAAATTACGATAATCTGTAGTCTATACATTTATTGTAAGACTTCCTAACTATCGATCAGTGTTAATAGTCTCCCCTTTCGCGTACAATCCTTATCATAGACGAATTCAATCGATATGATTGAAAAGGCGAATATTATTAATCGATCTATAGCGATCGAACTTAGAATTCTTTTACACATTTACAAAGAGCAAAGGAGAATCTACGAGACGGTTTATTGCCTGCAGAATGACTCGGAACTTGTCCGTTCATGGCGTTGTTTGCGTTTTAGAACGATCGAGAAGATAAAAAAGTTGGAATGAAAGATCGAAAAGAAAGATTTAGAAGTATCGTCTCGTGTTCTCGACAAAAACATTCTGCAAGCAACCGTTCGACAAGCAGAACGAAGGAACGATTTTCTTTCTTTCTTTCTCTTTATGAAAAAGATCATCGTACTTGCTTTATTTTTAACGATATAAGATGACGGTCCAATGTGATATGTATCCGTATATTATCAGTCATAAGATTAGGAGAAAACACAGGAAGGCGTCTCGTATCGTCACCCAGAATTTTCAAAGTGACTTAAATATATCTCGACGATCTCGTAACGTTCTTTCCTTTCGTCTCTTTTACGTTTTTCTTTCTTTTTTTCTTATCTTCTCTTTTTTTTTTTTTGTTCTTGTTGTTTCGCGAGTTATACCGTTGAGATATACTTATCAACTCGAAGTGGAGTTCATGGAATACGAACGGGATCGTCGTAATTGCGTTAAATCGACATAGCTTATTATCTACGTGCTTTGGTGGAGGAGAATTTTGACGTTTAAAACTCTTCCAATCGTCTTCTCTTTTTATCTTTTACTTTTTACCTCTCCTCCTCGAGAACCAAAGAAAGGGATGAGATAGTTTAGGCGAAGGGTACTCGTTTAAAAAGACGATTCCCTTGTCCAGTGATACGTTTCTCACCGGAAGTATATTGTACGATAGATTTTATTTGGTCCGTCGCAACAGGTCCAATGCATACCAAAGGATCTTTGAAGTAAGAGCAAACCTAAGGACAGAAATACGATATATTTATATATTAAAATCCCTATCGTTACGAATAATTGATAATTAATTTAATTACCTTTCTAGTCGTTTGTCGATGTCGCCTCTGCAATTGACAACACAAGCCACGACCGATATCACATTCACCTGACATGTTGCATTCCTCGTCTAAAAAATGTATCATTTACTCGGAATAGAATTTTTATTGATAAAATTCATAGAATTACGAAAAGGATCCTTACTGTACTGTTTGTTTGAAGTAACCGGTGGTTGACACGATCGAGTTTCTCCTCCTGCTATATCAGCACACATCAAACCTGTTTCGCAATCGTTATCTCTTCTGCAAAGTTCACCCTGTTTTAGTCCGTAAGCGAATAGGCATGTTCCAACGACTGAAATTTATCAATTGCGAAATTTAATTTGATAATGATCGATTTAAACAATTTACGAAACAATTTTTATACTTGTTTTATTCATAGTATATAAATATCCTATGTATATATTAGATATATTAAAAATAATATTATTACGTAGAATTACGTAGAACTGTGCCAAAATTGTAATTTTACTACTTGATAGCTTTCCGATAACATTTATTCTCTTTTATAGCATTTAACATTCTACCCCACTTTGTTTTCATACATTTTATGTATAAACGTAAGTTAAATCGATTTCTTTTTCATCGTGATAAAAATCTAATAAAAGTACTTTTATATAACTATAGGGTGTTAAGAAGAAAGGATCCGATACTTTAAAGATTACTAACATACGTTCGTAAATGATAAAAGTTAATTTACATACGTCGAAAGGATTGCTTGTTAGCATGTACATTGATTAAATATAATTTATCGATTAGATATCTATCGGTAAGTATTATAGATTAAGATTTATCGTTTCTTTTTAACACTCTATGTATACATATCGACGAAACAATAAAATGACATTAATAGAGATTTACCACCATCAACGTTGACGCAGACCGAACCAGGACAACAATGTTCATTGGCTGTGCATTTCTTCTCGTAACACGGATCGTCTGATTCTTCTTCCAACGAATCCCCATAAGAATTTCCATAACCTCCCGAAAGTGGTCCCTTTAATTAAAGGAAAAGAATGTTTCGAGTTATATAAAATTTTTTATTTCCAAAGAGTATTTACTCTGAGAAATAGGATGATTAAATTCACAGAAATTTTTTATTCAAAATAATTATTTCTTTCGTACGAGATTCTTACTTTTTAAATAGTCTTTAAATCGAGTACTTATATTCTTCATCTTGGGAAATTAAAATGGTAAAGAAAATTTTAATTAAAATTAAACATTAGTCTAATTTTAAATGTTATTTTAATTCTCTCAATTGGGTTAATCAATATTATTCAATTGAAATCATAACGAAATGATGTTTACATAGCCGAGAAATATGCGCCAACTTTTTTTATAACGTTGAGTAGTTAGTTTAACAATTTTTATTCGATCTCGTTACAACAAGAATTTTTTTCTTGTCTCTCTCTCTCTCTCTCTCTCTCTCTCTCTCTCTTTTTTCTAATAAAAAGAGAGAAGATCAAAGGTTAAATCTGCTACATTGTTACGATCGATGCTGCGAGGAAGTTCAAACCGTTAGTGACGGTGACACAGCTTGAACTTTCGAGTTACCTTGTCTCTCAATATTTTTAGCAATTTCTCGACTTTATTGAGTTTCTTATTTACGAGATAACACGAGCTAACTAATATTAATTCATTGCAATCTTAAATTCCAAGTAGTTAAAAGCAAGAGCAAGTCACTTTTTTATGTAGAATAGTTAATTTATCTGCATAAAATGTACTCAATACTTAATTAGATCATGTAAATCGTCTGTCAAAACAAAAAAAAAAGAAAAGAAAAAGTAAAAGAAATCATAATAATTGAAAATAAAATTGAAAGTAATTAGACTCGATGCAGAATCAATATCAATATATAATTATCAATGGTTAAATGTAATTAGTGATTGCTTATCGTGAATGCCAGTGACGTAATTTGAACGTAGCAACGCCAGACTGTATATGCAGTAACAAGAGAAAGAGAGAGAATGAGAGGGGGAGGGGGATTATCGATCGAAGGTATTTTGCGTATTGCGACAAAAAACACAATATGTCCAATTTGTGTCCAGATTTGAGTAACTTCAATGAATTTTTACTATAAAAAAAAAAAAAAAAAGAAAAAGAAAATAAACGAGAAAAAGTGGATAGTTTGATGATCTACATACCTGTAACAGTCTCGATCTGCTCAAATAACCACCATGTCCACCATAACCGAGGTTGGAAAGCATTTCGGGACTAAAACGATTAAAAAGTCCACCCCATGCATCTACGCCAAAGTGCATCGTGCTCATGAGAGCTATCAAAGCCACCGTGATACTCGCTTGCATCTTCATCATTCAGTTCTCTCTTTTTTTTATATCGCAGGAGTTTGTCGCTGAGCGCTCTATAAATGAAGCATTGATCGAAATAAATATTTATCTTAAGAATTAAAACGATATAAGAATGAAGCAATTGCAATCTGAAACTTCATTTAATTTCTTTAAATTTCGCTGATCAAATTGAATGATTAAAAAAAAAAAAAAGGATTCAAGGATCCTTACATTGTATCGATTCTGATTCTTTCGAGGAATGATTTCATTTCTTATTTTTTTTTGATCACAAACATTTAAAGTAAGTACATAGATCTAACATAGTGATTTCTTCTTACATATTAGCATTGCATTTGCGTGACTACGACGATTTTGTGTTCAACGTAACAAAATAATCAACTTGATAAAATATAGAAATATTCTTAACAACGAATGATATAACACGAATATAATTATTATTCAGGATACGAGTCTCTTTAATACATTTTTTATTCATGAAAAAAATCAAGATGCATTTAATATAAATATAAAATTGTACAGGATACTACAGGCTATTTATTTCAAAATATTCCGACTCTCAAATGAAAATAAAAAAAAAGAAAAATAACTTACGAAAAAAAGGAAGAATTACGAATTGTTGAAATTTATAAACAAATTTTTCAAAGAAGCAATATCAAATTGTTAATGATATACTCTACAAATCATATTAATAATGAAATAATTGTGTGTATTATAATATAGGCTTCTGAAAGATGATTTTGAAAGAAAAAGAATTATTGAAAAAAAATAAAAAAGTGACTCACATTATCCACCTGCGCCAGGGTCAAGCTTCTAATTCGAATGACTGACGATTAGTCGAGTTGATGTGTGAATTGTGGCGAGATCAGTCACTTTTTTATCAGCTCGGGGAGATCAACAAGTCCTCTTTGATGTTTGTTGGAGGACTGAGCTGAATCCTCGCAACCTTAGGTAATCTATACTTCTACCTATTCGCCTTCCCGTCATACAAGCGCACCCTATATATATAATGTTGCGCATGCGTTTGCCATCTTCCCCTATATTGTTTTCCTTCTTCGTCTTCCTTTTCTCTTCCACTCGCCTACGTGATATTTCACCCATTCGCATTTTCTACTTCCTATCGAAGTTTGCACTGTTTGCAAAATGATAAGCCATATGAAGGGATAAAAAAGTTTCTTATTCTGAATTCATAGTTAAAGCAATACTAAACTCTCTTATAGCAGATTTCCGTTCTTTTTTTTTTTTTTTTGTATTTCTAGTTTTTTTTTGTTATTGTAATGCTAATTATTATGGAAATAAAATCATGACGTTAAGATACGATAAACGTATTCAAAATGACAATTCTTTTTTAAATTGTCATTGCAATAATTTTTATTATTAGAACGAGAATTTGTGCAATTAAAAATATTTTAAATGATCCTAATAAAAATTAAAAATGAGCTTGAGTAAGATTAATCAACCTGTTAACTTTTAGATAAAAATTCTAATGGGTCTTATAACTTTTCTTTACATAATCAAGCTTGAAAGCTTTTTTCAGATAATGTTTGGGCCTTAGGCATGATTTATATCATGAAATATTGAGGCAAATCCTGTTAAAAGAACTTGGATGTAAAACTTTGACGTATCGCTGCTGGCATAGTAAAATTTGAATTGTTCATTCCATAAAGAGATCTGCGTTCCTTGCTTGGCCCAGATCAAATTCATCCAGCGGGTTAGTTTAGCGTGTAGGTGTTAAGCTAGCTCACCCCATCTCATTCTATCTCTCCCTCCCTCCCTTTCTCTCTCTCTCTTTTCCTCTTTCTACCTCTACCTTTATGTCTACCTCTATCTCTATCTCTATCTCTCTTACTCTTTCTTACTCCTTCTTTCACGTACTATCATCGTCTCTTTCTCTCTTGGTCGTATTGATCCAAAGTGTCCTGATGTTCCCAGCCGGGTGGTAGGTAGCTCCTGGTTTTACGTACATACTGGTTCCGCCCTGTATTACAGGTACCTTGCATTACGTATTCGTATACAACGCCAACAATTTACGTACTTGTATGGCAAAGGTGAAAAGAAAAGATATTATTTTATGAGAATTGCAATAGAAACATAGCAATGTTAGATGTCCATCTTTATTTATCTTCATTTTCTATTCTCCTTTTCTCTTCATTATTATTATTTTCACATTATTAATCCTGTTTCTTTCAACTACGTAATGTACCGATCAAGAACAGAACAAAGAAATATATTTTTAACCTATTTATTTTATCGAAAATTACGATTTACGTTCTTTTTATATTTACGTTCGTTCCTTACGTTATTTTCAAAAAGATATATTTTAATTGATAATTACAGTTATATTTATTTTTATAAAAAAAAAAAAAAAAAAAAAAAAAAAAAAAAAAAGAAAAAAAATCAAAGAATAATAAAATTCGTACAATTTAATTTCATTTTTCTTTAATAAAATCTAACTTAAAATGGTATACACTTTGCGAAATTAAAAGCCGAAAATACGTCTCGTTGATTTACAAGAACTGCCGAGCAAAGATTTTATCTACGTCTAGTCACGCAATGCGTTCTTTAGTCTGCGCTCTGATAAGTTGCATAATGTTCTATCGAGCGATTTTTTTCTCTTCAATTTTTTTTTGCCGCCTGCTACGAGATAACGATTCGAATTTAATTACCACGGGCTACCATTATTTTCACCGACTTAAACGTCAACTTTAAAAGTTGAAATCATTGTTGATAATTAAACGACCCTATCGAAGAACTTACCTTTGCAATTAATGAAATTATTGACTCGTGAACATTTGCATTTTTGATCTGTTTAAAGTTAATTGTTTGGAAAATTACAAACGAACGATCAAAGGAATTAATTTTTATTACTTTTGTATTTTTTATTTTTCCAATTACAATACATAAAAATCAGACATTGCATAAGATGGATGAATAAATGAGCCATTCTCGTATAAAAATGAGTTTAATAAATAACAGCTAACAATGAAATAAATAATGTTCGCATCGCATTAATTCTCATATAATATCTATATAATATATATCTGTGTGTGTGTGTGTGTGTGTATGTATATGTGTATGTATACGTATAGAGACAGATACACGTATATGTACATGGAACACGAGAACCAATTGCGCCGTGTCCTGGTAAAAATATCTTAAAGTGTACGATACGCGAAGGAAGAACGAAATAAAATTTCGCAAACTAAATGACACTGATTGTGAGTTCCACTTTTTCGGTTATCCTATCGAAGAAATTATATTGGATAGCGAAATTCAATTCGATAACGAAAAATTGTAAAGTCTCGTTCGGTGTCAGATAAAAAAAATAAAAAAAGGAAAGAAATATAAAGAAATAACCTTTTGTTCTTCTATAATTTCTCGCGTCGCACTAGTTGCAAAGGGGTAGTTAGGGGTAGGAAAGGGTCTTTTCCTTATTCGATATCGATCTTTCTATGCCGGGTGGGAAATAAATTAGACTTCCTTTGTACATTTATACAGGTGGCACGGGTAAATATCAGTGTCCTTGAGAAGAACGAAACATTCTTGACCTCAAACTCCAGTGATACTATGCAACCATGGCTTGAAATAAGTGGTTCTCATATAAACACCAGGCAAATACGGTGCGGCACATTTAATCCCATGAGATACCGTGCCAACTAACATCCATCTACCATCGGGTCGTTCCATTACCAGTGGACCACCGCTGTCACCCTGCAAATGATCGATCGATCGTATAAAATCCATCACTTGATTACGTTTATGTTCATTACTACATCTACTTTGAAATACGCTAGTCATCGTCCTTGTATCGTACGAGTTCTCGTAAAATGCAATCTCATAACTACCGCCACCTGACATTTGCTAGTTCATTAATCTATACTTCATAGCAACAATAAATACACCGACATATCCAATTACTTATGGATATTAATATAGAAGCAGATATACATCAAGGATATGATAAAATAAAATATTGAAGATTACTTAGCGTACCTCGCAAGAATCCTTTTGACCATTGGCATATCCAGCGCACAAGAAACTCTCTAAAATTAATTTTGAATGTCCAGCCGTTTGGAACATTTCTTGACAAACGGAATTCTCCATGATCGGCACTTGGACCTCTTGCAATACCGATGGTACACCACCGTCTGTACGAGATTTTTATTTAAAGGAAATAATTTTAATTGCTAATACGTAAGAAAACTAACGTGGGATACTTACTGTACTTCAATCTACCCCAACCAGTGACCGTAGCCATTCTGCCTGTAAAATCGACGTTATCGTCGGGCATGCAAATTGGTACGATGTGAGAATCGAATTGGACCGGTGATTCCAATTCGAGAAGGGCCAAATCATTTTCGAAGGTCGCTGGATCGTATCCCCTGTTAACGATAACTCGACGTACGTTCTTCGTTACGCTACGCTTCGATTCCAACTCTCCCGATATATCAAATTCACCGAAAACCGCTACGAGGGAAGCTAAAAATCTGTGTAAAGAAAAAAGAAAAAAAACAGCCCTGATGAAAAGAAAAGACAAATTTTCATTTTAAATCTGAATATTATGTCCAATTACCCTGGCTGACAATGTGCCGCAGTGATGACGTATTTGTCCGTGATAAGAACACCACCGCATTTATTTTTTGTAAAAAGTCCTAGCCACGTGGCTTCCCGAACCAATACCTGCCACGGCCATTCTCCAAACTGTGCACCCTTTCCACCAACTATTCTACCTGTCTTGATTAGAGGTTTTACCCCGCATTCTGTTGATAAAAGATGTCTACATATTAATTATCGACACGAGTTCACCTCTGTTATCAATTACGATGGAACTTAGATCATTCGGACGAATTCGTAAATACATATATTTGAATATAATGGAAAAAGACAAATGGATAATTCGGATAATCGATCTTTTTAATCTGATGAAACACAATACGAACTTTAACTATTCTGCATTTCTTATCCCTCTTGGCCAATATAATAATTTTTTCTTAAATCCGATAAAGTAAAAGGTAGTAAAAATAAATTAGTTGCGATAAAAGCTATATGGATTAACGGGAATTTAACACGAATAAGCGTGAACTTGCAAATTTATTATTCAGCCAAATAATATTCAGTTAATCTTTCAAGCGTATGCGTTCACTTACCAGTGATGAGAAATATCTAGAAATAAGAGAAAATATATGGCAATAATGTGTCTTACGTGTACGAAAATCCGATGCTAGGGTGGTCGCGACATTCAAGGCACTGCTTTGCGTTGTATCGATCGAAACCTCTTCTACCTCCTCTTGAAGAATCGGCTCGGCCGTAGTTGTAGGTACAGTGCTTGGCTTTCTGTTTGGTTTCGTACGTTTTGTAGTGACCTGGGGCCTCTTCGTAGTAACCGTGGGCGTTGTCACAGATGGTCTCGGTTTCAAGGTCGTGGGTTTCGATGGACGAGGTTTCTCACCGGAAGATGGTCTCGACGTGCTTGGTCGTACATTAGGTCTTTTCGTAGTAACAGGTCTTTTAGTCGTAACCTGTGACGGTTTGACAGTCGTTGATGGTCTTCTAATAGGTTTTTTCGTCGTATTACCAGCAACTGTGGTGATTGGCCTCTTCGTTACCGACGTCGTAGTCGTCGTTGACGTCGTCGATCCGTTAGCGCGATTGTAGACGATGTCTTTGAGATCCTTAAATATTCACGCGAACAATTCGATTAGTTCTCTCTTACGGATTTTGTCCGAAGATTAGATTAAAGTTTAATTGAAATGCGCGCTTGGGTTCGTTAGAAGTTACATTAGTTCTCACTGAGCAAGAAATCTATTCCATTCTCAACGGTACACTAAAGTGAAAAGTAACAATTGCGCTTGATAGATCTACCAATTACAATTTGTGCCGAGCTAGATACCTTCTACATGTTTTATATTATCCTTTTTTTCTTACTCTATAGAAATCAGATAGTATCTTTCTCAAGTAAC